ACAATCTGAGGTACAGGATCTCAGGATAAATCCTGAGGGGATTTCACTGACCTTATCAGACCCAAAAGCTACAACTCTTGTTGCATAGGCCCTTCTTTACCCTGGTCTTAACCATCCAGCAGAAAAGTATAGAAAAGAAATATAAGAAGTAAAGCCATGGTGTTATGTTGAGCTATAGGGGACTCAGGTCAACAATTTCTGACATTGCCAATCAAGTGGAAAACCCAGTACTATTATGCGCTACTGGACTCTTTTAGATTATTTTGCTGAGTTTATACACCTATAATATTCAAATAACGGAATTTAACAAAAAAGGGGATACAGATGAATGTCTATTTTGTAGCTGTGTATTCAATGTGGGTAGGATAGATATATAGTTACATTCTCTTCACGAATAGAGGGATTTTTTCTAATGGTGTTTGTAAATAGAGTGTCATGTCCGCATCTTGTACAGCAATTAACCCCTAGGAAGAATATATGCAATCTGTTAATTATTGAAACTGTCCTACCAATTTGATTTGAACTCTCTCATTGCTATTTGTTTCTCAATAAAATTATGGAAAAAAGAGAGATAACATCTCACCCCAGAAAGAATGACTATCATAAGGAAATCAAGTAATAACAAATGCTGGAGAGGCTGTGGTAGAAAAGGAACCTTTCTCTACTGCTTGTGGGAATGTAGACTGGTGCAATCACTACTGAAATCAGTGTGGAGACTCCTCAAAAAGCTAGGACTGGAAATCCCATTCAATCCTGCTTTTCCACTTCTGGATATTTACCCAAACAAACTGAAAACATCATACAATAGTGATATGTTTACCCACGTTTATAGCAGCACAATTTGTTTTAGCCAAATCTTGGAAACAGTCAAAATGTCCATCACCTGAGGAATAGCCTAAAAAATATGTGGTATTTTTATACAATGAAGTATTACTCAGCTATATAGAAAGGCAAACTTGAAGTCTTTATGGGTAAATGGATGCAACTGGAGGCTATACTCATAAGTGAAATTAATCAGATCCACACGTGTAAATATCCTATTTTCTCCCTATTAAAGGAACCTCAAAGAATTAATTAAATCCAAAAAGTATAACGGATATAGTAATATGAAAAGAAATTAAACATAAGGAATGAACAACAAAGATGAGGGTAAGGAGAAAAGATAGCAAAAAAGGATGGAAAATCATGCAAGTGTATATATACAGAATAGCTGAGATGACTGGACTACTAATTCCATCAGCTTTTTGAAAATAGAAGTTAATCTTTAAAATTTTCATTTTGACTAATTCTATATACTAATAGCTGTAAACTGAGCAACTACATCGAAAACAGAAATGTGCAATACAGAAACCACAGTTGAATACCTTTCATATTATTCTTCTAAATGTGTACCATTTGTAATGTCTTATCAATTATGATTATACTCTCTTTAAAATTAATTTTTAAAAATAATAGTTAAAAAGTACAAGAAAAAATTAAGGATCATTGAAAGCATTAATGTTCAAGTATTTGTCCAATCTTGTACATCTATATCTGTTAGTCTGAACAACAGATTTGAGGATAAAAATATGTAATATGACAGCCATTGTTAATTTTCTGTTCTTGTTTTGAAAATCTGTACCATATTATTACTGTTTCTGTATTTGTTCTTTGCTATTTGTTTTTGCTTTCATTTTTATTCTGTAAATTAAATAAAATCAAATTTGAAAAAAATAAAACCAAGTAGGATGGTTGGTTTACTGTTTTTATGTTAGTGTTTATACTTCCCCACATTCTTTACAGCTGTAAGCAAACCCTGCCATACAGTGTAGTATTTCCTATGTGCAGGATAGCTCAAACATGTGTCCGAAGGGAAGAAAATGTGATAAAAGTGTGCCTATCTGAAGAAAAACTGCATGAGTTGCTTTTTAGAGTAGTGCTTCGTACATGTGAATGTGCCTAGAAACTATACGGACATCCTGTGAAAATGTGTGTTTTATTTCGGAAGGTCTCGTGTTGGGCTTGAGGACGTGGGGTTGATGCAGCCGCATTGAGTAGGTTTTAGACCAGTCCATGAAGTCTAGTTTGGCAGGGGGTCTGTCCCCTCGATCTTCTTTTCACCTTATTTCCAGAATTCCTGCACTTTTCCTTGCAAGTACTGTGCCACTGAGCTATAACCCCAGTCCTCCTATTAGGATCTTAGCGTAGGATTTCTCTGTCAGTCTTTGAGTTCCTAGTTACTGGAGTCAATATAATCATTTCCACTTAAATCACATAGTTCGATCCCCCTTTTAAGTATTCACAGTGTGACTACTGAATACTCACTGATCCCAGTGTCCTTGCAATACTGGATCAAGTACTGTCCCATGACTCTTAGTAGATGATTGTACTCTTGGATATGGAGAAACTGTTGCTTATTATGGGATGGTTCCATGATCTCCAAGGGTATGTTAACAATTCCAACCACACCTGTGCCAAGTCTGAGGAAATAAATTCATATAATTTTTTTTAATTTGGCTGAGTAAAAAGTCCAGTATGTAGGGGTCACTTGCAATCAGTATTTTCCAAAGTAAATTCATTATCTTCGTCTGGAACATGTCAGAGTTTAAAGAATTATCTTTAAAAAGTTATTTTATGATGCTACCATAAATCTATGCCCAGGTGTGTTCCGTCCCATAGTACAAAATCACCTCAATATATCATTACTGAATTATACCAGTACTGAATATCATTACATCATACCATTACTGAATTAATATAACTCTTCTCCCAAGCCTACTGCCTTCCATGAAGTTTTGCAGGAAAGTGGAGCTTTTTGGCATAAACACCAATAACAGGGCCTCACTGCAATAAACCTCCACGATCTTTTTTTTAAATGAAACTGCCCAGAGTCACCTTCTCTGCCCTTATTTCACTTGTTGGACTGGGTCTCTCCTCATTGCAGAGCTCCAAGGGGGTTCTCAGTGACTTCTACTCAGAAAACTATGGGTTTCATCATCCCAGAGGGAGACAGACATCTGACTGTCACATTAATGAACAGAGCTTTGGTGGGGAAGGGAGGTAGTATTTGTTTGTTGGTTTTAAAATTTTTTCACTTTCCCAACAGCATATGATGCACACACCTGGGATGTTCTGCTTGGTGACATAACTTGTTTTGAGAAAAACATCTAGTTATGTAACACTGCTCATCCCCACTGCCTCTCCTTGAGACATTAGTCACCTCTGTCCAAACTAGGGGCCTCGCCTGCTGTCTCTACCATGTTCCTCTTCCACCCTGCTTTCCCCTCCTTATTCTTTCTGCAAGCTAAGTTTGGACACTACTTCCTGGAGTGCTGACCTGGCCTCTCCTAGTTTGGTTACTGCTTTTCTAAAGACAGTGACACCTCAGGTGTCAAATGGTTCCGTGTTCAAACTTTCTAATACTTGAAAAATTTGCCTGGTGTTGTAACTTTGTCCCATTGTCAAACTGAATATCCAACTTGGAAAAAACTGAATCCCATTTTGCCTTCAGATCTTAGTATGGTGTCCGGCACACACAGAAGAAAACTACTTATTGAGCAATGAATTAAGTGCTAGTTCCTTAAGATTGAGGAATCAAGACAACAAATGCTCTCCCGACCCCTCTACTGGTCATGAGTGTATACTTTATCCTTTTCCATGGTGTCTCTTTGGAACTCTACATCACTGAAGAAAGCAGCTTATCAAGCTTCAAGCCTCTGAGAAAACAGCAGAGTCCATTATGTGAAAATCCAAGTAGACTGGATGCTTAACAATTTACACTCATTCAGACAATTGGCAAAAACTTACTCATGTTCAAAGCAGCACAAAACATTAACAGGGCTGCTTTTCAAGACTATGATTTTTTAAAAAAGACTATGATTTATCTTTCTTTTCAAAATTTTGTTTTTAATGTGTATAATGTTTTTAAGTTAGAAAAGCATTAAAACTCTGAAGAGATAGCACAAGCAAATTGTTAAAGAAATGCAGTGAAAAATAACTTCCCAGCATGCTTTTTCCTTAGAGGACACACACAGCTTTACCAACAACACAAAGTAGGTAAATTGATGCTTGCACGCTGACGGAAGGGTGAGCAGAGGATATGACACCTGCTCCCACTCCACAGACACAAGTTTACTGCACCCTCCCCCCTCCGCCTGCGTGTGCACCTGAAAACAAAGGCATACTCACAGGGACTTCCGTTTCAACTGTGGGCCCACTTTCTCATGCATTTTGATCAAACGGCTATTACTGTACAGGAACATTCCATCTTGGCTTGGGTTTTCTAGGTTCACTCCAAAGAACAGGGAGAGTGTTTTTGCTTTTCTTAATTCTCTAGAAGTATATTTAGAAAAATTTTTAACATTTTTTTAAATAAAAGTATACACTTTATGAAACTGCTAATAATGAAATATAAAAATAAGCCCCCATGGAAATATATATATGGAATTATACATATATGAAATTATACATATATGGAAATATATATAAATATACATCTCCAGCTATTTTTACAAAATCTGGTAGGAACGTACACCTGTTGTACAGCCAAGTATTCTGCATAACTACACAAGTCAAACACAGACACATTCATTGACTCTAAAACAAATCTCTTAATTTAAATTTACAAGGCCCAGAAAGTCCCCAAGAAGTTATATACACTGAAGCAGTTTTGAAAATTGACAATTTAGATTTTTTAAACTGTAGGTTTTTCTAATGCTAAATGTAATTTCTCCTTTCCAGTATGTCCCCACATTTCCAAATACCCTACATAGCCTAGAATATATGAGAAGATGCTATTTAGCCCTCTTTAAACTTTTCCAAAAACCAAAGGTACATAAAAATAAAGTAAGTTAATGGCAATGGATATGAACTCTGATTCTCAGAATTTGTTCTATACTATGTTTTACGTTAACTTTTCTATTAGGTATGTATGCAAATCCTGAAAATAGCAAAACGCAATAGAACTGTAGCACCAGGAGGCTGCAGGGAGTGGTGAAGACTGCTCCTACGTAAGAGGTGGCTGTACCCTCAAATGCAGGCTTACTTTTCTAATAACTAGGAAAATATGAATGAGCCCCTTACACACTCTGCCTCACCTGGAACACAGGAGGAATATCCGCCCAAGAACATGGAATGTGATGAGGACTAGGAGTGATCATTTTAAATATACAGAATGGATGAGGTGCATATTTCCCTTTTTCAACCAATACAGCTCTTCCCCTACACTCAGCCACAGCTCTGTGCCATCTACAAACACAGCCTTTTTCTCCTGAGCTCATAATCTGACAATTCAATGTCCTCATCCAGTGTAACCTACCAAATCTTGAACCAATCTCTCATTTAAAAAAAATGTTTAGCATTACCTACACAAATATATGCACATGTTGAGATATACTTTAGTATTTTATACTGTTTATCTTGGCTGTTTATCCTGACCATATTAAGATTCATATTATAAAATATGCCAATCTAAGAAAGAGAAATTGTTATGGTAACCATCAAACCTTCCTACTTAGAAATAAGAATTTGTTTAGCACACAGAACCAAGGATTTCTGCAAAGGGAAAATCTGTGTCTTACCTTTGTTTCTCCTTAAGATTCTTATGCTTTGCTTCTGCATCTTCTAAAGCTTTCTCTAATATATCCTAGAGAAGTTAATTTGGTTGAGAGATGACACAAAGTTGACAAAAAGTGAGTTTATATTACCCTGTGACCCAAATATTTCCAGGGTACTAATGATAGATCACATTGCCTAAAGCATGGTACATACTCAGTTGATCCTTCAAAAATGATTAAGTTCCAATAGTTAGAAGAGAAACCAAATTCTAACTCACTGTGCTCTTCTTGCACGTGTTTAATGCACTCTCAGACTTCCAAAGAAAGAATTTTCACTACCTACAATAGCAGAATGGCTTTGACACAGACTACATGAAAACTTGGGTGAGTTATACATTGTACCTAGGATCTGGCCTTTATGAGAACAGAAAATGTTCAATCCCGTAACCACTGACTCCTTTAATTAAATGATAGGAATTAAGAAATTTAGTTAGTAGTCCAAAAACCCCTTCATCCCAAGTTCTGGATGCCTCTAATATTTGCCTTTTCTGAGTAACCCCATCTCTCAGCTTTTTCTTTGCAGACTGCTCCAATACCAGTGGCCAACTCTCTCGGTTACCTAGCTTTTTAATTTGCCGCACTGGTTCATTTACTATTCAATCCCTAGTGTGCTTGCTGTAAGCAAGCAGAAAAAGAATAGTTCTCCAGGATTGTTCTCACAAATAAGAGTAGACTTTGGTGTGAAAGGCAGCCATCTCTCTGATGAGTATACTGTGGTTGGAACAGGATCACTGTCTTTCAAGTAAAAGAAAATAGAAAATGATTGGTAACTATTTCATTTAAATTAAACTTCCCACAAGCATTTAAAAAGCCATGGTGTTTTGCTCTCTCCTCCACACTGAAGTAAACAGAGAGCTGGAGAGCATCAAAGAAAACTGGTCAAAGGCACCCCCACTTCCTGGCAGCCACTCCCACTCAGCGAGGACAGCAGGGGTAGCAGAAGGAGCAGCTACATAAAGTGAGAAGAAAGCAAGGGTCTTGACAATCAAAACCAGAAAGTAATGCAATGGCTTTCTTAGAGAAAAAAAAAAAATGGAATGAAACTTAAAGCATGAAAAAATCAATTGCAATAAGAAAGGGTTACCTTTAACTTAAGAAAAGGAAGGAAAAAAAAAGTAAGAGAACCTTAAGAGATCTGTGGATAGATTCAGCTCTGGGCACTATTGCATATTTTTCTTTGATTTCACACCTTACTTACGGCCTTTAAACAAGCAGCTCTTTATCAGCCACATCCTGATCCTTAAAAGTCGACGGGGAAATCACTTTATATTCCTACTCATCCTTTTGCAATCGGGAAAATAGATAACCCTCATCGTGTACCTCAGGGCAAGGCTTTATACCACATTCTTGTAAAAAGTTAGCAAACTAGCAATATATATCCTACAGCGGTATGTTTTTTCTCTTAGCCAAAATGCACTATAATTAATAAAAATAATGGTTCTTTATAACTATCCTACTAGTGGGCATATTGGAAGAAATACAGAGAATGTTTATGAACTACATGGAGAAACTCATAAGAAAAGAGCTTCGTAAGCTGGAAGCCTTGATATTAATATTCGTAATTATGCTATATAACTCCTAGCACTAGAATGAAGAACTGCTTATTAGTCTTCTCCCGGCTTTCCCCATTTATTTCGGTCCATGGAGAGCTATAATTTGAAAAGATATTTTCAAGGAGACTTGATAGGCTAGGTTTTCTCTATTAGCTTTTAATCATTTTCTCCTTTTCTTGTATTACTTTCCTTTTCATTTTAAAGAAATTGTTCATTATTACTTTCTCACTGTCCCAAATTCACCTGACATTTTGTTCCCTTTTAATATTCGTCTGAGCTTTCCCCCTATTTAGTGGGCTTTCTCTCTGCGGTTCACTTGTGTTAAAATCAACTTAATCTTTTGAGCCCATTAATGTTTAAAAATGTAAGAAGAAAATGATGAGAGACAACCATAAACAAGAAAAGTATGTGAAAAGCCGGCCAAATAGCTCAGGGGATTAAGCACCTGCAAGCAGGCACAGGGGCCGGGGGTTCGATCCCCAGGCCTGCTGTACAGGCCCTGCCCCCTGGGGCATGCTCAGACAGCAATTGAGACTGGGCATGGTGGCACGCACCTGTAATCCCAGCTCTTGGGAGGCTGTAAACAGATCGAAAAATATGAGTCCGATCTAGTAGTGAGACCTTGAACTCCCTGTAGACCCCTCCCTAAAAAAAAAAAAAAAAAAAAAAAAAAAAAACACACCACCCAAGTAGCTCAGCAGATTAAAGAGCCTGCAAGCAGGCACAGGGGCCGGGGCTTGATCCCCAGACCTGCCGTGCCGGCCCTGCCACCAGGGCGTGCTGAGATGATGATTGGCGTGGTGGCGCACGCCTGTAACCCCAGCTCTTGGGAGGCTATAAACAGGAGGATCATTACCAGTCTGATCTATTAGTGAGACTGAACACCCTGTAGACCCTTATCTCAAAAAATAAAAAAGAAAGAAAGAAAAAGAAAAGTACGTGACTCAGTGTGCCACTGGAGCACACCCTTCCCGAGGGCATACCTGGGCAGAAGCCGCAGCAGTTCCGTCAGCCTGGTGTACTTTGATGTGTGCTTCTTTCAGTGTGAGTTCAGCTGAAAGCAGAAGCAAAATAGTTACAATACAGTGAAATGCTATCAGTTTTTAAGACAGTGTCTTCCATACATCGAGTCATGACCAGTGAGAATGACACACTGCTCATGATCTCAGAAAATCCGAAGTTCACTTCAGTGCTCTTACCCATTTTGTAACTTGTCTATCAGAACTCCTTAAAAAGGCAGGACAATTTATAACTTTATATGCAGATTCAAAAAGATGAGCTGACCTTTGACCAATTAAAAATGCTATAAAATCTATATATAATGTAAAATATTCCCACTTCCAGATGACAGGAGGACAGCTTTGCCTTTGCTGTTGGAAAAGAGTGTATGTAAAAAATTCTTCTTAAAGTAGATGTAATACTTGCCTCTAATATAATTGTTCAGCATCATGACTATGAAGGCTTCTAATATACAACAATTAATTCCAAGTATGTGCAAAATCTTACTTAAAAGTAATAAATCATATCACACACACACAAACTCAGCAATAGACATGTTATGAAGTTCCATAGAGGTAGGAAAATGTAGTATTGCTTATAATGCCTACAGCAATGCCCATCTCGGAACAAAAGCTGGATTAATTTTGCTGAGTGAACAACAACAATGTGAGCAACTTGAAATCACATACCCATCTGTACTGCTTCCTGTGCTTTTCTAACTTCATTTTTAAGGACTCCTTTGAAAGAAGATGTGGCATACAAATATTTTCTGGAAAGAAAAATGACATAATGAAGTAAGATTACTCATTTTAAAGAATGTGAGAGAACATTCTTTAGTAAGATTATATACTCCAGGAATGCATAATTATTAAGAAAGATGCATCAAATGAGTTATATCCAGTCAGTTATATCCAGATGATAAATTAGCAAACCTTCTACCTAAAAAGAAATTCCTTGCCTTTTAACAATTGGTAATTTTATTTTTCTAAAGCAACTTCAGGAGCAAGATAGGAAAATCTCTGCCCACACACATGTTCAATTTTACATATAAAATAGGATAATTTTCTTAAAAGAAAATGTTATGCAACTGCTTCACTGCCCAAGTCTCTGGTTGGCATGCACAGCCCTCTTACTCAGATCATCACTGACACTGGCTAACCTGCTTCTCCCAGTCGCCAAACAATTATTTCTAGCTTAAATGCTTAGAAATGCACATTAACATAACATCTTAAAAGACTAAAAGCATATTTTTTACTGTGTTGCTCAAGTTTTTATTTTCAAGATGTACTTCTTTAGTGACAGCAAAGATATCATAGAACAGTCAATAAAAAAATGAACATCTATAAACTCGAAAGTGAACAAGGTATAGATAAGAAAAGCTTTGCGGCTACTGTGATAAAAATCAGCATGATACTGGCAAAAAAAAAAAAAGACCTGAGGATCAGTGGATTAGAAGATGCAGATACAACTACAAATACATTCAGACATCTTATCTTTGATAAAGGAGCTTAACATGTTCATTGGAAGAAAGCCTCTTTAATAAAGGGTGCTGGAAAAACTGTCTCTCTATATGCTGAAGACTAAAACTAGAGCCATGTCTATCACCACACACTAAAGTCCAAATGGATAAATGATTTTTAAGTATTAAAACAAAAACAATAAATCTATTGGAAGAAAAAGTAGGTAGAACTCTTGAAGACATAAGGGTAGGAAAAGTTTGTAAACAAAAACCAAACTACACAGGAAATACTTCAAAGAATCAACAACCGGGATCTCATCTTACTAAAAACCTTTTTGCACATCAAAACAAACAAACAGAGGGAAAATATAACCCACAGAGCGAGGAAAAATTTTTAGCTAATCATATGTCAGACAAAGAGTTTATATCTAGAATATATGAAGATTGTAAAAACTAGATCCCCCCAATTCAAAAATGGGCATCTGAGATGAATACACAACTTTACAGATGAAGAAATATAAATGACAAATATATGCAAAAATGTTCCACAGCACAAGTCATTTGAGAAATGCAAATTAAAACAACATTGAAATTCCATCTCACTCCAAAAAGAATGGCTGTCATCAAGAAGCCAACCAATAACAAATGCTGGAGGGGTTATGGGGAAAAAGAAACCCTTTTCCACTGTCAGTTGTAGTGGAGACTGATGCAACTACCATGGAAATAAGTGTGTAGATTCCTCAAAAAGCTAAGATTAGAGGTCCCATTTGCCCCAGCTATTCCCCTTCTAGGTATCTTCCCAGAAGAATTAAAAACATCATACCACAGTGATATATGTGCATCAATCTTACAGCAGCACAATTTGCAAGAGCTGAAACTTGGAAACAACCCAAATGCTCATGAATCAGTAAATGGATAAAGACAGACAGACAGACAGACAGACAGACAGACAGACAGACAGACAGATGTAATAACCATAAAGAAGGGTTTCTTGAGACATTTCTAGGTAAATGGATGTACCTTGAGACCACACTCATAACTGGAATAAATCAGACTCATATATGTAAACACTGTATTGTCCCCCTGGTGTGAGCAATTGAAAGAGTAAATAAGATTGGGAATGTACAATAGTATTGTGAAGTGGGAAGTAATTGTTTAAAAGGAAAAAGAAATTAGGATGGGGACAAGGGGAAAAGAAGGCAGGGAAAGAGAGAAAAATGCAAGTTAGTTATACTGTTCGTGTTTCTTAGTTCACTGAAAAGTTTGTGCTAATACTGTTTGGAGAATGTTAATGCTCATATCTTATACTCTGAGGAACTACTTCGAAGATGACAATATGTACTGCATTAATTATTGTTATGCCCTTCTTATTTTATTAAGATATTCTGTTTTATCTTTTTTTCAATAAAATAAAATAAAATAAAAAAGAAAAGCTGTGTAGATCACACACTCCCTAAATACACTTTAAATTAGAGAGTCCTTGGAGGCAAGCTTTAAAATATTAGCTTAAATCATTACAGACAGAAATATCCCACAATAATATTTGTTTTTAGAATGCCCAGAGCTGGGGAGATAGCTCAGTGGCATAAGCATCTGCCTGGAAAGCACAAGGTACTGAGTTTGATCACCAGTATCAAAAAAATATAAAATAAAAAGGTGGAGAATGCCCAAAGCTTTTTACGTGTGCTGTCACTCTCTGTTTAATACCCGTACCCTGCTGTGCTGCTAGCTCATTGTTCTCTGATGTCTGCAATGTTCAGAATGGCGCACATACTTAAATTGTACCTGTCGCCTACACTGGGCTGAGGGATGTCCAGAACATTTCTGTGAAGGTACTTTTGAAAAATATAGTATTTGGTAAATGGAGTTAAAAAGACCCTTCCTCACCTCTGTGGATAGGCACTGCCCAATTCACAGAGGGCTGGAACAGAAAAACAAGAGGAAGAAGGCCGATTCAACCTCTTCCTGAGCAGGGACATCCATCTCAAGTTGGGTCATCAGAATTTCTAGCTCTCAGGCCTTTGTCTTCAGGCTTGACTACAATGCCTTCACTCCTGGGCCTCTAGCTGGCAGAACGCAGACTGAGCTGCTTCAGTCCTCTGTTGATGCTGATTCTGTTTCTGTTGATTCTGTTTCTCTAGAGAGCCCTGACTAACAAAGGGACCAAAAGTTTTACAAGACACCAGTGGGCATCTGCAAACCATTTCTTGAGCCCAAAATGCAGTAAGATACATTTTTTAAAAAAGCATTTTCTGGGGCCGGGGTGATAGCTTAGTAGAATAAGCGCTTGCCTGGCAAATGCCAGGGCCTGAGTTCAATCCCTGGTTCTGAAAAAAAAAAAAAAAAGCATTTGTTCACGCGGGAGGGAGAGTGTAGATCCATATATGTCAATGAGTCTCAGTCAGGGCCAGGCCAAATAGAGGTCATGGAACCAGTGCAGTGCCTGGCTTCTTCTACTACAGCCTCAGACCTAAGGATGTTTTCTTTTCCATTTTTTAAAGATTTTAAAAATAAATGAAAACATGAGAAAACAGTAAAGAACTGAATATGCCCATATGTCTATTATCAGGCTCTTTAGAGGAAAACCTTGCTAATCTGGAAAGTCTATATCAAGAGCCATAGCTTTAGCTTTAGGGTTTTTATTTTATTTTAATGGTTGTGGGATTAGACCCAGGAGTTTCTGGACACTAGGCAAGCATTTTAGGATTGAGCTACATCCTCAGGCTCAAATTCTGCATTTTAAAGTATATAAGAGGGTGGGGAGATAGCTCAGTGGTTTAAACACCTATCTTGCAAGCACAAAGACCCAGATTTGATCCCTGGTTCCACATACTGTGCCAGCCCCAGAACCCCAGGTGCGCGGTGTCAGCTCTGAGACTGGGCACGGTAGCGCACACCTGCAATCCCAGCACTGGGGAGGTTGAGACAGAAGAATCACTACGAGTCCAAGCTGCATAGCAGGAGCCTGTACCAAATAAATAAATAAATACAAAAAAGATTTTAAAAAATAAAGTACATAAAATAATAAAACTTAGTACATTATGCTGTGCAAATGATACCACAAACAATTTGAAAACCTTTTCACAACCCCAGAAAGAGCCACAACTCTTCCCATCACCTCCTACCACCTGCAGCCCTTAGCAACCACCAAGCTACTTTCCTCTTTATTATTTTACTTTTACTAGTACATGTTTGCGGTTCCTGAGAATTACACTCACTGTGAGGGATTACTACATGAACATAACACATTTCAGCTCCCTTCTTTTGCCCCTTCCCAATTCTCTTTTAAAAAATTTTCCAGCACCAAACTGATTCATAAGACCTTGCTAGACTTTATTAAAACATACTATATACAGATTGACAATCAAAGCACATATAAAATGTGTAAGATAAGTGTACAAAGTCAAGGTACACTTTTAGATACACTGCCCATGCTGGATTAAAATACACTTTCTCTTTCTCCTTTTCTTTTTCTTATTATTTGTCTTTTATTCCATATACATGTATATGGGGGGAGCAGTTTCATATATGAGGAATCATTCAATATTTAAGCTAATGTGTCTGAGTTACTTCACTTGACATTATGGACTCAATTTGTACCTATTTTCCTACAAATAACTTAAATGTATCATTTTTATGGCAGGGTAGTACTCCAGGTGTATAAATACCACTTTTTAAAAAATCTATTCATCGGTTGGTGGATATACAGGCTGTTTACAAGATTTAATTTATTACTGTGCTGCTATGAATATAGCCAAGTGTGGCTGGAGTTGTTTCCATATCTTCTGTTCTGTTCCACTGATGCATGAGTCTAATATTTTAGTTTTGTTTTTTCTAATACCATGCTATTTTTATTACTGTAGCTTCATAGTATCACTTGAAGTCCAGGATTGTGATGGTCTCCTTCCTTGCCCTCGTTGTCCAGAACTGCTTTTGCTATTCTAGTTCTCTTCTGGTTCCATATGAATGTTAAGATTGCTTTTTCCAATTCTGTAAGATGTTGTGGGGATTTTGATTGGGACTGCATTAAATCTATGTAACAGTTTTGGAAGTATGGCCATTTTTTTCTACATTTGTTCGGCCTTTCCAGGAACAGGAGATATCTTTCCGTTTTCTGATATTCTCTTCAATTTCCTTTTTTCCTAGAATTACAGTTTTCATTCTAGAGTTCTTTGACTCCCTTGGGTTAATTCTTAAGTATTTTATTTTCCTTGTTGCTATTGTGAAAAGCATTATTTCTAACTTTGTGAGTTTGTTGCTGGTGTATAGAAGTCTCTCTGGTTTTTGAGTATTGCCTTTGTATCCTGCTA